TGGATTCTTTGTTAAACTTTTGGCTGTTTTTGACCTGGTTTCTACAGTGGTTACTATCCCGGCCACGCTGATTTTCCGACTTACCTCCCCTGACGATATTGATGCCGGACATATGTGCCAGATGATGATATTCGTGGAACACTTCAACACTCTTAATTCTGGATTAATATTCATCATCATTGCATTTCAAAGATACAAGAAAATATGCAAACCACACAACTCGCAGATGTCAGAAATGCTTGCGAAAAAACTTTGCCTAACTTCTACCTGTGTTTCTGCAGTAGCGAGCATGCCAATCATATTTGTGGTAAGTGAAACGATGACGTGTATTGAAAGGGGAAGCGACTTTGTTCTCGTGCCCATTTGTGATTTTACCTCCTATACGAAACGGAGCCTTCCGTCGATCGTGTATGCAACCTGGGTTGGAGTTGAACTGGTAGGAATCACTACAACTCTTACTGTCTTGTATAGTGTTATTGTCAAAGCACTAAGAGCTCACACCAGGTATATTGCCGCCAGTATTCGCCCCACACAAAATTCTAGCAGGGATGTAGCCAGGACAGCTACTATCACCTTCTTTGTTCTTACTTTGGTGTTTCTAATCTCGACGGCACCAATGGCTTTCCTGACTTTATATTTCAGTTTGGTAAAAATCGACATATATTGGTCCCACGTACAGATTAGAGCCTTTGACCTTGCTGTGAACTTGATGTTTCTCAACTGTGCCATCAATCCATTCGTATACAGCTTCACTTCATCTGTGTTCAGGGGAGAATTTAAACGTGCTCTCTGTTCCTTGAATTCTGAAGAGCAAACATCCGCAACTCAGGAATCTCAGCTTTAACGTCGGCACAATGTTCCAACAACTAGTTCATCTAATACAAGAAAACAAAATATTCATATTCCTTCATGGATGTCCTGGAAGAGCGTAATGACATGGGTGGGGGATTTTTCTAGAAACCGATCTTAGCCTCAGCTGTTGTAAGTCCACCTTGTTGGGGTATTTTTAACGGCTCCCGAACCCATATTACATGTACTTATGTATTTCTGTATGTCTCGTTTATATCATAAAACGTATTTGAACGTATGTATTTTTGTACGTCTCGCTCATTCCATGAAACGGTAAGCATTCACGGCTCATCCATCGTTATGGTGTTCGCGGGAGTCGGTACCTCCCGGGTTACATCCTGATCAGTCGAATGCCTGGTATGGCGTTGATCTGATCACAGGAATAACGTGAGTGAGTGAGTTGGGTTTTACGCCGCTTTTAACAGTATTCCAGTTATATCACGGCGTGTCAGCTTAATGTGGGAGGAAAGCCCAAAGTGATGCAGGTCTCAGACGTTAACCTCTGAGGTGAAACCCACGAGCACGGGTATGGTGCTGACAAACCTAGAAACAGAATCGGGGCGAACCGGGATTCGAACCCACAATCATAGGTTTCGGGCGTGCCCAAGGGACGCAACTCTGCACAGCGAATTGCGGCGCCTTAGACGACTGGGCCACCCGTGCCCCCTATACGAATAATGGCTTAGTGCATTTCTTCCCAATCAGCCGAATTGGTCTCGCTGATGCTTGATTTTACAGAGCTGATCGTTCTACCACTATTTTCTTATTGCTAGCTACATATTCGGGATGACACCATTTCCCCACTCGCAAGACACCCCATTTGTCAGACATCCCACTTGTCAGACATCCCAATTGTCAGACACCCAATTTGCCACACATCCCACTTGTCAGACACCCCATTTGTCGGCGACACTCCACTTGCCAGACATCCCACTTGCCAGACATCCCACTTGCCTAACATCCCACTTGTCAGACACTCCACTTGTCAGACATCCCACTTGTCAGACATCCCACTTGTCAGACATCCCACTTGTCAGACATCTCACTCGCCAGACATCCCACTTGTCAGACACTCCACTTGCCAGACATCCCACTTGCCAGACATCCCACTTGCCTAACATCCCACTTGTCAGACATCCCACTTGTCAGACATCCCACTTGTCAGACATCCCACTTGTCAGACATCCCACTTGCCAGACATCCCACTTGCCAGACATCCCACTTGCCTAACATCCCAATTGTCAGACATCCCACTTGCCAGACATCCCACTCGCCAGACATCCCACTTGTCAGGCATCCCACTCGCCAGACATCCCACTTGCCAGACATCCCACTTGTCAGACATCCCACTCGCCAGACATCCCACTCGCCAGACATCCCACTTGCTTCACATCAAACTTGTCAGACATCCCACTTGCTTCACATCAAACTTGTCAGACATCCCACTTGCCTAACATCCCACTTGTCAGACATCCCACTTGCCAGACATCCCACTTGTCAGACATCCCACTCGCCAGACATCCCACTCGCCAGACATCCCACTTGCCAGACATCAACTTGCCTAACATCCCACTTCTCAGATATCCCACTCGCCAGACATCCCACTTGTCAGACATCCCACTTCTCAGACATCCCACTTGCCAGACATCCCACTTGCAAGACATCCCACTTGTCAGCGTCCCACTTGCCAGACATCCCACTTGTCAGACATCCCACTTGTCAGACATCCCACTTGCCAGACATCCCACTCGCCAGACATCCCACTTGCCAGACATCCCACTTGTCAGACATCCCACTCGCCAGACATCCCACTTGTCAGGCATCCCACTCGCCAGACATCCCACTTGCCAGACATCCCACTTGTCAGACATCCCACTCGCCAGACATCCCACTTGCTTCACATCAAACTTGTCAGACATCCCACTTGCTTCACATCAAACTTGTCAGACATCCCACTTGCCTAACATCCCACTTGTCAGACATCCCACTCGCCAGACATCCCACTTGTCAGGCATCCCACTCGCCAGACATCCCACTTGCCAGACATCCCACTTGTCAGACATCCCACTCGCCAGACATCCCACTCGCCAGACATCCCACTTGCCAGACATCAACTTGCCTAACATCCCACTTCTCAGATATCCCACTCGCCAGACATCCCACTTGTCAGACATCCCACTTCTCAGACATCCCACTTGCCAGACATCCCACTTGCAAGACATCCCACTTGTCAGACATCCCACTTGCCAGACATCCCACTTGCCAGACATCCCACTTCTCAGACATCCTACTTGTCAGACAGCTTGTAATTACAAAGGTCATGATTTAGGGCATCGGCTGATTCCAAGGCAATATTGAGTAAGTGAGTATGGTGTTGCGCCGCTTTTAGCAATATTCCAGCAATAACACGGCGGGGGACACCAGAAATGGGCTTCACACATTGTACCCATGTCGGGAATCGAACCCGGGTCTTCAGCGCGACGAGCGTACGCTTTAACCACTAGGCTACCTTCAGATTATGTGTTTGGCGTTCCCGGGACTATCTGCTATTCGAATGTAGCCTTCTGGGCCGACGCCATTACAGTCGTATATCTAATCATACTTTCAACATCATTGGATTTTTACCTTCACTGTCAGCTAGTATATATATAAAGATTTATGTTGTATTTTGACTGAAGATAAGTGTTTGCTTTTGTAATGTACAAGTAAAGGATTAATCGTGTCTCACTGGTCTGTCCTCCGTATTGCCACTTATGACTACACTCTTATTGTAATATTGCTTGGACACCAGTTTTGTAATAAACCATATTTTTCTGAAGAAATGTATTGTAAATTATTATTCCTGATTAAATGTGACAAAATACATATCAACACATCAAAATAGGAAACAGGAAATTGGAAACGTCAACAGGAAGTAAGTGTGATTTACATTAACTGAGAGGCGGGTCATTTATTAGGGGTGGATGGGTCAGAGAAAATCAGGTGAGGGTGACCAAAACATATGACCGTCTCTAGGTGAAGGTCATAAATTATAATACACATATTTGGGGATTGTATGGAAATATGAACAGCTGATATTGTATGGGTATTGCATGGGTATGGAAAAATGAAAATAATACAACAGTGCTATTACATTTGGTCTTTTCAGGGAGAGACATGAAAAAATATGACAAGCATTAGGGGAGGGTCATTAATATCTGTACATTGGTGCATCAAAAGACTCTGACCCACGCACCCTTGCAATATATGAATATCGTCCCAAACCACTGGCGGATCCTCCCACCCCACCCCTTTTTTCAGACACACTCAATGTTAACTGTGCCTTTGGCTTTGGCATCATGCAAATATGTGTGCACGCACGAACGCACGCACGCACGAACGCGCTCACGCATACACTCATACGCACGCACGCACGCACGTTGTACATTATTCCTGGTCGGTGAATGTCCGCCTGAGCTGAAGTGAAGCATATTCGGACAAGTTCCGTGTGAATATTCACTGCGGAAATATACCTTCAATCTGTTTCTAATATATATAATAATGCAACTAAGCGAAAGTATAAATACACAATAATATAACTGTTTTTATAGCTGCATTATGACTGCGCGCACTAGAGGGATCAATCCGGGTCCCTTGGAACTTCTGGAATAGATCTCTATAGTATCTAATGGTTGTCGTAACATACGGCGCCATGTGGACTGGGTGGTCCGGATTTTTACGATATATTCAGGTTGTGCATTTTTGGCTAAATCAGATTTTAGAATGTATTTAGGGGGAGAAATGACAGAGTAATAGTAAGCAATGACAGAACTAATTGTGCATCATCGTGTTGTTGGATGTTTTTTACGCGTAATTTAGTATGCCATCATGTGCGCGCTATAACGGGGGTTGACGAAAACTTAATTGGTTCTCTGCGATAACTGTACATGCAATAGTAGTGTGGTATTTAGTCAATTGAACTGTCCGGTATTTGATCAATACCTATCAAAGTAGGATATATATCCCTAAATCTAATAAGTTTCTTAAGTTTTCAAGATACTATTGTATATACGTACTTGGCTTATTTTATACGCGCTTCATTCGTCTTTGCTCTGCCGGCTGCGTAGAGATGTTATTTTTAGAACGGGAATCACCCCTCAGCGCGAGATTGTGGACGTGGCTTACTGGGTGACGTCATAAGTTGCCATTTTGTCAACAGTGAGAGTGCATCAGGTAAAACTCATTTGTTGCCATTTCCTGGTTTGTCATTCTCGTTTTTTATTCATCATTTGTTCACGCACAATTTTTTTGCATAGTCGCAGGTATTGTGTCTACAACGTAGCGTTATCCTAATCTCTGGCAAGGTGTATTTATTCAAACATCATCTATTTTGCTTCGTCAACTGTCTTGTTTTCGATCATACGACCAGTCAGATTGGGCTTTCGTATCTCGTCATGCATGGTCGATTCTCTGGTTTGGGGACAGGCGATGTGCCTGGTCTGCGGAACCTGTTTAGACACCAAGACAACATTGTGACTTTCTTTACTTAATATTTTGAGAAAGTATGCATAGTTATTAGGTGGGCGATAGTTAAATCGAGGGGTTTTGAAAGCCCCAACGTCAGGGCGAACGTTTTATGATATTATCATGTCTACAGTCTGGTCTATGAAGCATTACACTAACAAGCGTCAGTTGTCATGGCAGGTACCACTGAATTTCCTTATTGCCAAATACGGAAGACTTTTCTCTCCTATCCCCTCGTCCAAAAGTTGTATGAATTGCCGCTCAATCCTTTTTATCACAGATCTATAGATCTAGGCTAGATACGTTTTTGTGGGGAGAATACGGGCGGAAGTCTCACCCCAAATATTTTCATTTGTAGCCAGCATGTTGTAAGAGTGTGCTTTATACATGCATAAGCTGAATATAGTGCAAAATGTGAAGTAAACAGTTGTATGGATAAGTAGTTAGATTTGTGTCCATGGGTATGGACAACAAGATAATAAATTCTGTGTAGATTCCGAGTTAGAATTGGAGCCCAGGAACCTATGCTGATCGTTAGAAGTGACTTTATTGATCAGGCAGTCAGGCTCGATGTTTGGGTTGATGATGGGTCAAAGTGGATTGTTGCTGTAATGAGTCTACCTTTAGAATACAGTACCACAGATTTTTCACACACTTGACAATACCCTATGACGTAATTAGTAGTATTTTGTTGCCAGTCACACCAGCGAAACAATGCCCTGTGACATCAGTGGTCATCGAGTGGACATAAACTCCTCCCAGTGATCTATTATCTCTACACGCAATGTCATTGAATGCGCCAGCAATGATGAGACTTTTGAATATGAGTTTACTAAACATAGCCTGCGGTGGCAAGTTTTATAGCAAGCTCTAGTTTATGAAACCACTTTTATAAATGGGAACTTATATAAGTATATTATTTTTTCGATTCATAATTTTCTTTATTATACACAGGAATGCAGTTTATTAGGTATATTATATTGGCGCTGAGCACATCTAAATCTCACCGGTGTTTGGGTAGGTTGCCCCGAACTCTATCCTTAGCCCTTGGATCTCCTTTACGATCAATCACCCCTCTACGATCTTCAGGGTTAAGGTACCCGTTTCGGCTCATTCCAAACCACTCGGTATCTTGTAGATTACGGAGTGGGACGAGTGTGCCAAATGGCATCGGGATCACTCGTAAGTGTCCGTAGACCAAATCCACGACGAGACACCATGCCTACCCGAAACCTTCGTAAGTGTTCGTCACCTATTCAACACTTTTTGTTCAGTTCCATAATAATGTAGGCATGACTAGGTAAATTTGGACTTAATTTCACAGTGTGGACATAGCTCTGTCGGTCAGCTGTCGGGCTAACAATCCGAAGGTCACGAGTTCGCATCTTGACGGATTCTCACAAAACCGGTAGCTTGTCTTTGAGACACGTAACCTACGGCAGAGAGCGTCCTCACGAGAAGCTTTGGCACTGTATTCTAAAGGTGCTCCTATTAATGTCAGTCATTGGGTTGTCTGGTCCAGATTCAATTATCATATGGCTGGGTTTACTCCCATAGAGTAGGGATAATAAGTTCATCACTGGACATTGTGGATATCTTAAATATCTTATATTAAATAAATTGCATATAGGTGCAAAGTTTTTGATTATTTGTAGATCAGGATAGACACAATTTTATGGATAACAACTTCTTTAAACAACTTTACAGTATTAAAGAAGTTGTTATCCATAAAATTGTGTCTATCTTGTCACCCGTCAACTTCTAAGTAATGCCTATCAAACAATTTATTTGTAGATCTCTGTATGACAACATCAAGGCTTGCAGGGATTTATCTAGACCTGCTCAGAGGTCGATATTTGATCCCAAGTCTGCAGGAAGTGTCATTAACAATTCCCAATGTGGAACTAAACATTTCCCATTTCATGTTACAATGAAAATGTAACTAATAACTAATCTTATGACTTTGTATACGTAACCTGTATTTATTTATAGCAAGACCAATAACAAGGGGAACAGGTTTTAATGCTTTGTTCTATGTTATTGCATTACATTCAATCTCATAATTTCTCTGAATTTAAGAAATTATGGACTTTAATCATCCCAATTTGAACAAAATAATTACTTTCCCAATTTGCCTGCCACGGGCACTTCCCTGGGTTTGTGTAAAATATTGTCATACCAACAGCGATAGTTTATGTTTGAATACAGGATTAATGCAAGGGCACATTATATCACCTCTGTTATTTTTGTTTTTTATATGAGGATCTTGAATCATAGTTACAAAAGGATGAGTGTCAAAGCAATATCTATAAATGAGTTATTATTAATGTTATTGCTATTTGAAGATGATATGGTTGTATTTAGTGATCCTGCAAATGACAGCACTCTATAAGCTAGCAGAGTATTCTGATAAATGGGGTCTTTGAGTAAATATGGTAATAGGTTTTATTTAAAAAGTCAAATAATACAGTAAAATATATTTGTATTTATATATCTGAATATACAGAGGTTATTCTCAGCCAATGGCAATTTTGGAATTACACTTCTTAATTTATCTGAGGAGGCCCTGGAAGCATGTAATGTACTTTTGAAGGAGGTACGAAGGCACAATTTAATTATAAGAACATCTTCAGATTTTGTCCATACTTGTGTAGCACAACAAATTACGATAGCGAGCTTTGGGTGTGGCTTATTTCAGAATATTTTAGTACTTATAACCTATGAAATGTACATTTTGTTTAATGCACTAATGACATATTATATGACATCTTAATATTTATGAAATTAAATGTGGCAAATCATGTTTTAGAATGTGGCTTAAAGTGTGAATGAATCAATGTTTTATAATTATATGTTTTGCTGTCACCAACTGTTGGGCCAAGCCAGTCTAATATAGCTAACAGCTAGGGGATTATCTGTGCAATCAGCCATATAGTTTGTTGTTTCAAGCTGTCTGACTGATGGAACATCTGGCTAATGGGAGGAGGAGTAGTACAGAGCAAGCGTAAATGAGTATATTATCTCCACCGTACATATGTTTGAACTCTGTAAAACATTCGACAAAGACACACGTTACGAGTTACAACATTTTCCATTAGCAATGGCTTTACGTACGTGTACGCTTCACTCAGTCATCGAGGGTTATGATGATATCATTTATGCAAGTTCTTTTAGATTGAAATGGAGAATTGATAAATATAGAATACTAAACGAGCTCCTGTGTAATACCAATTTTATGAATGTGTGAATAGTTCTGCATGTTCTGGTATCTGACGAGCAAAAGCGAGTCGGATACCACATCTATTCACAAGTTTCATAAAATTGGTTTTACACGGGTGCGAGTTTAGTATTTTATTTATTCCTTGTCATTTATAACATTTTAGAATTATGCTGTTGAGTGTGAATAGGCTGACACCCATACGATCCAGGGCATAATCTAATTGAGTTTAACAGAATAATACTTCAAACACGTCAAAAGTTGAAACGTATTTTAATACCATACAACGGTTCACCTTTAGAATTCAAGCGTCCGTTCCACAAAATTATCGTGGCGCTAAGGTTATCGCAACTCATATACTTTTACTTAGACTAACGACTGTCGTTGCGCTACATACGATCGCCTTGTGGAACGGGGCCTTGCACCTCAAAGTTTTCAATCACGTCGCAATATCCGATGACGTTATTTGTGATCCATCGGCGAAACAATGCCATGTGACGTCAGCCTAGCAACAAGGTTGCTGGGGTCATAGTGTGTGCATAAGCTCCTCTCAGAGATTTATCATCTCCACACGCAATGTCGTTGAATAAGCTAAGGGATGTTGAGAGCTTTCAATATTTGTTCGTGAAACGTGTTCCGGGAGTACATAAGCACGCGTTTTGGTATTACACAATGTGTAATACAGCTGTATGTTTATTAAACAGGTGATCTCTTCACGGCAAGTTATATAGAAGAAATATTTCTTTGTAACTTACCTTCAGACAAGTTTGTATCACTTGTTGAAAAAGCAGTTGATGCCGTATTCACAAATATTGATGAAAGTATCAAGTTTATTAGAGAGGCACTCTCCTATGCAGGTGACGAAATGAAGAAAGTAGTTCATATGGATAAGAAAACACAACAATGGTTTGATTGGGAATTTCAGTAACTAAAAAAAGAGAGATGTACATGCCTCAACAAATTCAGAAGAGATAAAGATTTGCAGTCGTTAAGGGAATATACAAGAATTAAAAATCTTTACAAAACCACGTGCAGGAAAAAGAAGCTTATATTTCTTGAAATGAAAAAACGATAGTTGGAAGATAACATTAAGATGTCGAAAGAATTTTGGACAACCCTCGGAAAGCTAAATCCACATTATGAGTTCAAATATAATATTGAAATTGATAAATGGTATGATTATTTCAAAAATATGTTTAGTGGTAATGGTGTTAGGGATGATACCTACTTTGAATTATCAGATCAGGAAACATGTGACATTGAGATAACTGCTATAATGCTTGACTCGCCAATTACAAGAGAGGAAATTCAAATAGCTATCTACAATTTGAAAAACAGCAACAGTTCCGGCATAGATGGTTTAATTCCAGAGTTTTTTTAAATATTCTGTCTTTAGTCTACTCCCATACCTTGAATTACTGTTTAATGTGATTTTAGAAACATCTTATTTCCCAAAAGAGTGGACTAAAGGTGTGATCATTCCACTACATAAATCAGGATTATGTATTAATACAAACAATTATCAAGGAATTACCCTTCTGAGAGTTTTTAGCAAACTATTTGTTTCTATTATCTTTTGGTCAGATTCATTAGATAAAATTTTGGAAGAAGAAGCTGGTTTTAGACAAGGGTACTCAACCATGGATAATATTTTCAAACGTAATGCAATTATTCACAAATTCATGCAGAGAAAAGGTGGAAAATCTATAAAAAAAATTGTAGAATTCAAAAAGGTGTTTGATTCTGTAAACAGAAAGGTAATGTGGTCATTGTTTCTTTCAAATGGTGTAACAAAATGGGTAAATTATTATGCAATATTTATCAAAATGTAAAGTCATGTGTTAAAAATCGGGGAATATATTCTGATGTCTTCACATGTAACATTGGTGTACGCCAAGGCTGTATTCTTAGCCCCTCCCATTTCTGTTTTTTCATCAATGAACTGGCTGCACAAATTAAGGATAATTGTACTGATGGTATACAGGTGCATCCAGATGTTGTCAAGATATTTCTGTTGCTTTTTTATATAGTTCTGTTCTCTTGTACGATGAAAGGTTTACAGAATTTGATAGATCAACTGGAGCTGTTCTGTTCTAATTGAAAACTCCAAGCGAACACTGAGAAAACGAAAGTGTTAGTTTTTTTAAAAGGGAAATAAACTATCAAGTAGGGAAAAATGGTTCTTCAACTTATAACCATTACAAATTGTCACGTCTTATAAATATCAAGGGGTAAGCTTCACAGGCAGATTATCGTGGAATTACCACACCAGTAATGCAACAATGCAGGCAAAAAAGATACTAATGGGAATCTTCCATAATTTAAAAACTTGCACTGATCTTTCACATAAAACCTTTTTTTAAATATTTGATTAAACAAAATACTCCAATTCTTTTATATGGAGCAGAGGCCTGGGGTCATACTGAATACAGAACTATTGAACTGGTCCATCTATATGCTTGTAAACGATTCCTTGGCGTAAAAAACTGTACATTGAGTGTTATGGTTTATGGTGACTGTGGACGTGTACCACTTTACATATTTCAAAATATTAGAATTCTCAAGTATTGGTTCAAGATTCTTAAAATGCCTATTGATAGATTGCCTAGAAAATGTTATAATATGATGTTATTGTATGAAAAACATGGAATCCGCTATTGGGTATATGATGTAAAGTCGTTGTTAAATGAATGCAGCTATGGGTATGTTTGGCATAATCAATGTGTACCTAACAATCCAGATTCGTTTTTAGTATCTATATGCCAAAGACTTAAGGATATGTACTTACAAAAATAGTCATCCCATGCTTTAAGTTCAGGAAAATGCAATTACATGTATTACAAGCTTTTTAAGACAACTATTTCCCCAGAATACTATTTATTTGATATCAGTTTTAAAAGGTTTAGAATAAGTTTAGCACAATTTAGATGCAGCTCTAATAGACTTAGGATCAAAGTAGGCAGACATAGAAACATAGCCAGAGAATTGAGAATATGTGAGCAATGTGGTTTAAATGTGATTGAAGATGAGTTCCATTTTGTGTTAGTTTGTCCAAAATACGACCACCTAAGAAGAAAATATATTGATCTGCCTTTTTATGGACATCCAACTCAACAAAAATTAATATCGATCATGTCAACAACTGATAAAGATACTCTAAAAAAATCTATCAATGTTCATTTATGATGCTGTGTTAATTAGAATATGACCTGTTAAACGGATCTGTAACCACTCCCGAAAACAGAATTGTACTTTCAGCACGTTCAGTATGGAATAAAACTTATCCTATCCTATCCTGATGGGAGGACACCTATAGTTGCAGCATTGATGAGTGTGTTGTTTTAAATAACTGTATACCCACAGTCCATGACAGTGGGTAAATTGCAGGCTCTAAACTTTAAGCTCGGCTCAGTTTATGACAACTGAACTAATATTCTTTTACAGCAGTAAACAGACAAGATGATGGAAGAATCATCTGACGAGCAGCCAGAGATTATCTCCCATGAGGAAGCACAGCTAGCAGAGAAAGAGGCTGCCCAGACAGGTAACAAGACTTCCCTGTATTCAATTGAGGCGAATAATAACTGGTTTCTTTAATTCGTGATATTTTTGTGGGTGAATAAACTCTGGCCTTGGACTTTATCCTTTGAAAATCTGGCTGTGTAGTTCCGTTTCCAATTTGAACAAGTCAAAATTGAATAGTCACCACTAAACTGGTATATTCTGTCATATTTAGAAGCTTTTATTTGGTCAATAATTAAATTGTGACACATTAATGCTTCATTGGTTATAATGCCCTGAATCTGCTATTGTCTCCGGTATGTGTGATTAGCATGATTAGGTTTTGAATATTTATAAAGACAAACATTTTATAACGTTGCCATTCAAGCATTATCTGATTAAGCTGAGCTTTGTGTTTTAGTAACTTTAGATATGTCTGGTAAATAATTTGTTTAACTGCTTTGATTGTTTTGTTGATCCAGCTGCTGCTACCCCCCAGAAAACTGGAGTGGGACCAAGCAATGTGGCAGCACCCTCCCCCCTCCCATCATTCCTTGCCACCTCTTCTCCGACTCCCACGTCTGGATCTACGCAGGTGGGTGCTTCATGTCACAAAACACCCAGTGGCGATTCCAGGATAGAGTCTGCCACCTTAATGCATGTCATAAGAAGCCATCAAATGGATCGGGTGATCAGGCTTGGTGACTTAGTTATTATGTCATCGTGTTGCTCACAGTATTAATCACTGGATTGTCTGGACCAGATTCGGTTATTTACAAGCCACAGTCATATAGCTGGAATAGTGCTGAGTGTGGTGTTAAACAACAAGCAATTAAATATACCTCAAACAAATATTTAGAAACAAATCGTATATCTACAAACCAACAAAGATGCAAAACCTTACAAAGGATTTTTTGTGTATTTTTCTTTCAGTTATATTGACCATGTTTACACAGCCACAAGTTGGACTTGTATTCACATGATGAACACTGTGTCAGTACTTATTTATCACCAGTATTGATATGGTATTAATTTTAATGAACTTATTTTCCAAGTTTTGATTGATTTATATCATGTATAGTATCTCCAGAAACTGTGACTAGATGAGGGGAAACATGATACCTGACAGGTTAGAGTTACAGCACCCTGTACTTTAGTGACATTTGTCAGGATCAAGATGCACCCCTGAAACCTGGGTATGTGTGGTGTATGTAAAGCCAGTACTCCTAGTTATTATTCTTACTGACAATGTTGGAGTGCTACAGGTATTAACATGTTGAAGCATTTGTTAAAAGAAGGGATGAGGGTCCAAATTTACTTACTGTGCATCCGACACCCTTTCACCTGACCCTACCTGGATACTCGCTGCAGGTCTCAAGAGTTAGATACAAAATGTCTGCTTGGGAATTGTTTTACCGCAGCCCTGGCAAAAAGTATTCAGTTACACATATTACATGATATGGTCATGCATACACTGAAGCTGTATCTTTATTGAAGGATATAAAAGTCAGAAGGAATGTGTGAATAGTCATAAAGAAATGCGAATATTATTGACGTGTAGTGTTACCATGGAGTTAAAGGGAATGTTTGTCAATAAAGAACAGCATTACCCGTCCCAGCCCTAGAAGGCATGTTGCGCAACTAGTTCTGTTTTTGTGTTTGTAGTTAATGTTGGAACTGAAACAAGCTTGTCATGTTTTGGGTGTTCGTTGTACATGCTGTGTCTTGGCCTAACTTATTTAAAAACATAGGAGTCAGGACTGATCAATGGGGCTGCAACGAATACACTATGAGGCGAATATGATTCGTATCACGAATATAGGGTAATGAATACGAATAATAATTCACGATTACAATAACAAGTCAGCAATTTATGTATTATTTGTTATATTCAGTGAAACATTAACAACATAAATTATTTGACATGGTTTGTTAATTATTAATATAATATACATTTATATACTGCACTTATCCAGGTACTAGTATCTGCTCAAATGTGACAATGACCAGTGACCACAATACTGTTAAATTAAAAATTATGAGAGTGTTGTCTTTGAAGAAATCTAAGCATATGATATGTTCTTATGGATATATTTAGGTACAGGGTATGTAAATGCACATACTTGTGTATTCATAAATATTCGATTCTAGTGATAACGAATTCAATTCATGAATGGATATTGTTTGATTCACCGAATACATGAGTGAGGTATCGAGTATGGTTTTACGCCGCTTTTAGCAATATTCCAGCAATATCACGGCGGGGGACACCAGAAATGGGCTTCACACATTGTACCTATGTCGGGAATCGAACCAGGGTCTTCGGCGTGACGAGCGAACGCTTTAACCACTAGGCTACCCGACTGCCCCTACTGATCACAGAAGTGGAGAAAAAGCCTCCATGTTACTGAAGAATAGATGCTTTGCATTTAAAGTTAATGTTTGTCATTTATGTTATTTTTTCACAGGTTAAAGCAAGTCCATCCCCAGTGCCACAGAAGTAAGTAGTTTTGAAACACAATAATGCATTCTATATCTAGCAGGAAAAGCATATAAAGCTATCATTTTCTTCTTCTTTTTCTGTCCTTCGTTTGTGACTTCTCATGTGTAAGGTTAGTGTTCATACATTAGGCTATGCATACATGCTTAAAATTCATTTCACAATATCTGTCATACTGATAATTTTTGTTGGTTAGGATTTCTTTTGTTGAGAGATAAATTTACTGAGTGATCGTAATAATGTCTTCAAGATATTTTTAAATCCTTGTTGAAAATCTCTCTCATTTATTATTGAAACATGGATGTAATATGCAGCAACAACCAATACCGGACGTGTTCATTTCAGACAGGTGTCCTCAATTACCACTCCCAGTGTCAAGGGACCAATAATCTCAGCAGCAGTTGCCTCCCCTGCTCCAGGAGGAACCACTGCCCCGGGTAAGTGCACCAGTGAACAGTGAGTGCACTGTGACTATGTATGGGTGAGTCTTTGTGCCGTTTACCAGTATTCTGCTGCTCTGTCAAGCTGACAACACTGAGAACTGGGGCGCATTGCAAGCCAAAATCACGTAGAATAAGCAAATAATCGCCCATCAGGCTGTTCTCCAACAGACTGAAGCGCATGCTTCCAAAATGGTGGCGTGACTACCGCTTGGTTGCCTTGCCCAAATGAAGAGGGTAATAGAAGAGGCTAGATGACAAGCTGATGAATATATGACTATTGTTGAAGCAGACTGGGGATGCTGGAATGTCAGCTGCCTTTGTCCATTTCCCAGTTGATCCAGTCAAAAAATTTCAAACTGTCAAACTCAAATTTCCATCATCCGCCATCTTGGTTTGAGAACAGTTGGTGCGATTACAAGCGTCCAAAAGTCAGCACCCCATTGTAAGGCAAATAACTGTACAGTGCTTGCAAGCGATTGGCTTTTTGAAACACACCCCTGGCTTCTGACAGGACATTTATACCTGGGTTTCCTATGTGACAAGGAATGGCAGTGCTTCTTGAGTGTTACATGAAGCAATACAATACGTTGAATAATACTGTCATATTTTCACTTTGTTCACAGTACAGTAGAACTCAGACTCCATTAATATTAACTATTGTTGAAGATTAAGTGTCATTGTCAAGGAAGACTTCCTAAAAAAGGGAGATAGTTCTATGGATATACAACTTCTTTATTACAATGTGTGCAATGTTTCGGTGCAGATACTATCCTTTATCAAGCAAGTGATGTGTTTTTATATACACTGAAATATCACACTCATTGTAATAAAGATGTATATCCCAGAACTCCAGATAACTTTTTAAGCAATTGAGTTTTTACTCAAAGGTCTTTAAATTGTTACATTTTTCATTGGGTAACCAATATTTGTCCACTCATCTATTCATCACCCTATTGGGTTTTGCCCAAAATGAGTAAGCATTTTGAGATTTGAAAAAAATGAAATAGTATGTTAGATGTATATAAGTTCTAAATATAGGCTTGGCTTGGAAAGTAAATCAGCTCATAACTGTGTTTTTTAAATTTGCCACGTTGTACGCATGCTGAAAAAGCTTCATTGGCTTTTTACGCGAGCTGTTTTTAAACAATTGAGTTTTCCATTTAATGCATGCATTTCTGTATGCAAGGCAATTGAAAGTAATTGGGTTTTGAATAGTTTTGGGGGGGTATTTTACGCAAATACACAGCTTATCTCCCTTGTTTACAATACCAACTTCTAAGTGCCACTTAAATGAGAAGACTTCTTAGCATACTGATTGGCACTTCAGGATGTATTTTTATTTTCCATAAAAAGAGTGTTAAATGCTTACTTTTCTGTATCCCCATTCAAAGAAACATGCTATAAAATGCTGTCTTTTAATTTGTATTCTATAAAAAATATCTTGAGAAAAATTCATGTGGCATAATCACATTAAATGATAATGATAGTTTACAACTATGTCAATAAGCTACATGAAATATTGTATTCGAAATGTTTTGTCCACATATGGATAAGTATTACTTTATGAGAAAACATAAGCAATCGTATATATAAGTGTGCAGATTCTTTAGCAAATGGATAATACACATCCCTAATTAGATATTTCTCTGATTTCTAATGTGTAGCACTCTCCATTGAGGTTATCATATTCTGTAAAGAAGCCACACTACCAGCTTACAATGCGGTGGATTCAGTTGATGGAACATGGTGATGCCACTCCTATTCACTTTTGCGCATATGATAATATGGGAATTATTTCATTTTTTGTTTGATAAATAATACCACTTGTTTGATGATATAAATTTTGTTCTAATTCTCTATGATTCTTGAATGCACTGTTTCATACCGGTAATAATTTATCTTAAGATATGTAGGGGCAGTGGGTAGCCTATTGGTTAAGTGCTCGCTCTTCACGCCAAAGGCCTAGGTTCAATTCCAGACATAGGTACCATGTGTGAGCCCTATTTCCAGTGTCCCCCCCACCCCCTCCCACCACCACCACTGTGATAATGCTCAAATATTGCTTAAGGTGACGTAAAGCTGTCTCATTTGCTTAAAATGTGGTCTGCCAACACACGCCAGCTGGAATTGTGCAGTGAACATGACAGCATACCAGCCAACGTCCTCAATACCACTATGTGATCAAGGTGTATGATTTGTTCCAGGACATATGGAGACCCCGTACGAGGCTAGTTCATCTATCCCAGTGAGTGATGACTCCCCTGGACCCATGCCCCAGTCTGGGGGAGGCTTGTTCAGCTGGATCTCCGGCAACAGTCTCGTGTCAAAGGTCATGGAAAAGACTAAGGTGATTGTTAGTTTCAAGTGTCCACTTCTTACCAAAGCCTCTGTCTTAATTTTTTATTTATTATTGACCAACAATATTTTTACAGGTATGTATTCATTTTTCATCCTGGTCGCCTCCAACCTAAAAAATTAACATGTTAGAGTTCAGAAATTGGCACTTGTCCTGTAGTCCTTGCAATACTGCCCAATAGTTAATGTATCATAAGGACTAGTAGAAATTTACCATTTATAAGGGTTTTGCTAGATGTAATCATTAAATGACTAGTGGACTAGTTTCTACAATTAGAGTTATGTCCCTTTGAAAAGAAAATGTCCTGCCTTTACATGAAAAATGTTGAGAAGCTGGCTTGTCACTTAGTGAAGTCATCTGAACAATGTATTTATTTGTTTCAGAACTCTATGGAATCTGTGATCACCACACTAGATCCTGGCATGAAGGAAATTATACGTAGGTCCCAGCAAACGGAGGATTGCACCCTACATGACTGTTATATGTCCCTCACCAAACAGATTTACTGAAAACAATGTGTTAAACATGTTAAAGGTTTAATGTAGATTTGTAGTGGAGGGTCACATATACATTATTCATACATAGATTCCAGCTTTCATGGAAGCAATGAAAATGCAGACACTTCTCAATGATCATGGTGAACAGAACAATTTGAAAATATTTATATTGTAGCTATGCCCTAATAGCCTGTTAAAATGTTGTTGACAATACCAGTTATGACCATCTTGTTTTTTGTGGCTTATTTGTAGTTATGATTTGTTAGGTGGCCCAGTCATCTAAGGTGCCGCAATTCCCTGTGCAGAGTTGCGCCCCTTGGGCACACCAGAAACCTGTGATCATGGGTATGAATCCCGTTTCACCCCGATCATGTTTCTAGATATGTCAGCACCATACGTGTGCTCATGAGTTTCACCAATGTGGTAAACGTTAAAGACCTGCATCTCTTCGCGCTTTCCTCCCTCATTAGACTGACACGCCGTGATATAACTGGAATACTGTTCAAAGTGGCATTAAATGTAACTCACTCACTGTAAATCAGTATTCATTTACATGCATTTGGTGTCAGCTGATTGAATAGGGTCTTACACTGAATACAAGGATCCTCAGGGGTGTGCATGCATCTCCTCTTTATGCATTCATCATTAATATAGGTAAAGCATGGTGTATGAATAGTGGAAATGAATTATGAACACTTGCACTGTGATAAAGCTAGGTGCCTAACAGGATCGGGTGGTCAGGCTTGCTGACTTGGTTGATGCACGTCATCGTATCCCAATTGCATGGATAGATGCTCATAATATCAATCCTGGATTGTCCAGTCCAGACTTGATTATTTACAGACCGCTGTCATATAGCTGGAATATTGCTGATTGTGGCATCAATTATAAACAACAAACAAACAAACAAACAAACAAACTTTGTTTCTGTTCTGCAGGGTCTGGTGGCGACATCAACATTGTGGTCACATCCACAAAGGAGTCGAAGCTTGGGGCAGTTAGAGAAGCTTTTCAACAAGTGTTTGGTCGAGCAACAATTACGGGCATGGTGAGATATTTTGCAGGGTCTGAATTAATAGTTCAGATGTTCAGTAATAGTTTCAATGACCAGAAGTCAATAGCATTGACATCATCAATGCAGTTGTTACAAAGGTCAGTGAAACCAATTTGTTATGGATACGAAACTGAAACCGTAGTTTTGTCATTTCTGTGTTATATTTGTATCAGCCTACCCATGGTGATCCCTAGTACACCCTTTGTATAAATAAGTTGACCAAACTGATGATAGGGTGGTAGCAATGTATCACATGGCTGATTATGTGTCTTGCACCCCGAAAGCATGCATTGTTGTTTGCATCTTCCCGAGGCAAGAGAGTTCATTGACTTTATAAGTCCAGTTTCCATCCTTGCTGATCAAGGCTGGAATTACTGGTCTCGATCGTAGTGCCACCCGTGGCTATAACCAGTTATGTCCCTTCTAAGCCTCTCCTATGGACCAATCAGATTCCACCTCTCGTATCACTTGCGTTTGCTTATCAGAAAATGGTGGTGCCCTGTCAGGACGATCTGATCGATAATCAAGATCTATATTGTGATAAAACGGGTCTTACATTGCAAAATGCATCAAATCACATGAGCACCTCGATTAAAAACATGAAAAGATTTGGAAAATATCTGTTGACAACGAGTTGCGGTGCACATGCTTTGCAAATCCTGCAATCGATCGAAATCTGCACAACAGTTTACGAACCAGATTTTGATTTGGTGCGCGATTTTGATTGGACTATGCATAGACTCGTTAGTCCAGCCAATATGTAACTCCATAATACCAGCCTAGTTCGGCAAGGGTGGAAACTGGACTTTCATAGTCAGTTAATTCTCTTGCCTCGGGAAGATGTGCTGTTTGTTATCTTTGTTGCTACTGGATTTGATTATTTTCAGAGTGCTTTGATACACTGTGTTGTTTGTATAGGAGAGCCAGGCTACAACAGCTGCCCAGCCTGTGGGATGTACAGCCGGGCTGAAGGGAGCAGAAGAGCGCATCCAGAATCTCCGCCAGAAGAGTTCCCTGTCCGGTGACCAGCCCATCGTCTCTGTGGAGGGATTCATCATGGAACTTCTCCCTGACAGGTACTAGCACTCTTTGTTACACAATCCGTTTAAATACAATCTTGTCGACCTTTTCTACATGGAGTATTCTAGCTTTTGAATCTAGCTGAACGTTTCAACTGTGTATTTATTATATACAGTTAAGAAATATATCTAGGCATCATTTGATTTGCATTGGATGATGGTTAGGCACCAATATGTTGTGGTTAGGGACGGGTTATTTATTCAAGGGTAATGTTGGTACCGGGGTCATAAAAAAAATATGACAGTCTCTAGTGGAGGGTCATAAAAAGTAATACACATATATGAGGGAGGTCATGAATAAAATATGCAAGGACATGGGCAGGGTCATCCAAAAATATGACAAGCAGGGAGGGGTCATTATTTTCAGTACATAAGTGTGTCAAGAATCTGACCCACCCTTGTTATAAATGACTGGTCCCTTAGGTTACATGGGTTGAAGCCCGAGTGAATGTTATATCATTCAGTGAACATTTGAGCATTGTTATCACGATTATAAGGAGGCTATTGTTATTTTCTGTTTTCTCCCACAGGTGGTACGAGATGAGTTGCTTGGTTCTCCAAGACCCCAGCCACAGAATTGACCTGCAGACCTTCTCCCAGCCAACTCCCATCCCAGCTGAATTCGTCCTCTCTGCCCAAGATCAGACCCCGTCCACCTACCCCCTCCGCTGGTCAGGACTTGCTGTCACCATCGGCCAGGTGATCGAGACGGCCCAGCCACACATCGGTCATACAGACTGGCAGAGTGTTCTGGTGGGGGTGAGCCGGAGAGAAGCCCTGCTGTTGGCGGCCCGGGGGCTGGCCTACATGTACCAGCAGCGGTTGCCCACCTCCTTCATCTCATGACCTGCCCATCACTGGCGGAGGTCTACGACACACCGAATCTATCGTGCATTTTCCTGAGCGTGAATCTGTTGAGGGGGGTGATAATTTCTTGTGGACATCGCTGATCTTACTTTGTAATGCTGTTGTGTGAAGGGCGTGAACAGCATGATTTTTTTAATCAGTGGACATGACAATTTATATTTTATATAAAATGTAACACTTTAACGTGGCTACTTGCACACAGCCATTTCCATAATTCTAGGGCTCCCCAGTAACCAATGTCTTTCTTTTTTTTGGATGACTAGGATTTGATGATACATGTATGTAACCATGGTAGGTGCCATGCTAAGTGGTTTGCCAGCCCACAACAAGGGTGGCTGGTGTAGAATTCTTAAATAACAATAGATCCTCTAGTACGCTTGTATAGACAAATGTAAATACGCTCGATCATTGATTGTGATGTTGGATGTGTTGGTTACATCACAAATGCCAAATATAACATGCATAGTTGTCTTTGAGACATGAAGTCAAACATGTATTCACAAATGTGATACCAAATTGACTGTGAAACATTGCAACAGTGATGAAACTAATTTGATTGGTTTACTCTTCAGTATTTCCATGGTTCTGTACTCATTTACTGGTAGTATATTCTTAGTGTTAGGGATGTATCATTAATGGGAGTACCACAATACAATGCTCATATTACAAAGTGGTATAAATACAAGGCGATACATGTTTATAAAATGGGATGCTTACATGGTATGCAAATGCATTGAAACATTATTCAACAGGTATCAAGACATTGTCAGGTCATATGACACTAGTTTCCTGAATTGATTTGAGTGTGTTTCAGTCTGCAAGTTCAACCTCCAGCCATCCTGTCCAAAGGCCCATCTAGTAAAATTCTGTTCGGTTTAGTCAGTTCAGCTAATAATAGTCCCTATGATAACACTGAAATCGACTGAAAATGATGCTTAGGACAAGTTTGGGCTGATAGACTGAAAACCTTTTGGGCACAGACTGTGTGTCTTCATTCCTGTAATGATGTTAATTTTCATGCTTTGTATCGTGTATCTCAATTTTGAGATTTGTATGTTTTTGTTCCAGCCCGCTTGGTGTAGGTTGAACGTGTTGTCTTGCTCGGCATAATTACGCCACCTTTAATGCAACACAAATAATTGTGCAGAGTTGTGTCCCTTAGCAGCAGTGATTCACTGGCCCTGGCTTCGAGACCAAGGTTCACCCTGGTCATAATTCTGTCTGTGAACACCTTTCCCTTGCTTGTGGGTTTACCAAAGTGGTAAATGCCTCTTACTTGTGTAAATTTGTTTTTTTCCTCTTACAACAAGCAGCCACACAGTGATATAACTGAACTCACTCACTCATTAGCATAAACTGGAGAGCACCTTCACATCTGAAGGTGTGCCTAAAGCTGTCAACTTCATGCTATCTTTTCTTGCATAATATCTATATTGTATTGATTATTAACATTAACTAGTGGTTACAGTCTTTGTTACTATGTTCATTAAATACTGCAAGTCTTTTTGTCCATTGACAACCTGGGTGGAGACTAGCACAGTGTGTACTTGATTCCCAGTCGTGCTCCACATCCCTAGGGTTTGAATTCAGACCTATGGATAGCTTTAATTCAATACATAAAGTAAGTGTGATTATTCTCACACCAAGAAACAAAACAGCTCCCATGCAAATGTACTTAACAGGGAGTTATTGTGTGCCACCTCTGGCTGTGCCTGTAAACACAGCAGACACTTTTTATGTATTTTTATATATCTCTTTCAGTCCTTTTCTTTGTCGGATTGTTCACTCTGAACTGAAGGTTCCCAACTATTTTCCAGTCATTTATTGCTGTATGGCTGAGCCTTTTGCTTCCTTTTAGTTTGGAGGTAGGTGGCGTAGCCGAGTGGTTAAAGCTTTCACTTGCCACATCAAAGGCCCGGGTTTGATTCCCGATATAGGTACAATGTGTTAAGCCCTTGTCTGGTGTCCCTAGTTGTGATATTGCTAAAATATTGTTAAAAGCTCCCGTAACTCCATTCTCACTCAGGGGTACTGGTGGCCCAGTCGTCTAAGGCGCAGCGATTCGCTGTGAAGAGTTGCGTCCCCTGGATGCGCCAGAAACCTATGATTGTGGGTTGGAATCCCGGTTCACCCTGATTATGTTTCTAGGTTTGTCAGCACCATACCTGTGCTCGTTGGTTTCACCAAAGTGGTAAACGTCTGAGACCTGCATCATTTCGGGCTTTCCTCCCACATTAAGCTGACACGCCGTGATATAAATGGAATAATGTTAAAAGCGGCGTTAAACCCAACTCACTCACTCACACACCATTCTCACTCATTACCTACACCACGGTCTTGTCTTGGGTTTACCCGATCCAATATGAACAATCTGTAGAAAATGTTGCAGATAATAGCTGGTCTTCTACTTAAATTAGATGTAAAACATGTTTCTGATACTTGTCGACCCCTGCTGTCCGTGGGTACGTTCCATGGGAGAATAGGTTCCAAGCACACAATGTTAGTCTACGTGACGTGGTTACCTTGCAAGTCCTGGCTGATTGCTGTCATACCCTGATGGCGTGGATGGTTTATGGAGGTATGAACAATTATGATGATGAATCTTTGGGGTGATATTTTTATGTAATTGTGTGCTCTGTCTTGACAATGAAAAAATATCCCAAATAATATTCATGATCCCTTATTTGTTTTGTTTGGTATGTTAATGTTAAAAACCAGTGTGCAGTGTGTAAATCCACGCAAAGTGTGGACAACGGTTTTTATCTACATAAATGCAACAAATATGTTGAAGTTATTATAAGAGTAACGCTATTTTTCAGGGCTTTATCATTTGTAGAAGACCGAGGGCTTCTGCAAATGATAATGCCCTGAAAAATAGTGTTACCGTTATTAAAGCTAAAATGGATGGAATTTATTATCAAATAAAAAGAAACAACAATATGGGTTTTGAAACATTTACTGCAATCAACATGAATGTTGAGTAACGCTATTTTTCAGGGCTTTATCATTTGTAGAAGACCGAGGGCTTCTGCAAATGATAATGCCCTGAAAAATAGTGTTACCGTTATTAAAGCTAAAATGGATGGAATTTATTATCAAATAAAAAGAAACAACAATATGGGTTTTGAAACATTTACTGCAATCAACATGAATGTTACTGACCCACTTTTACAAATATGGAAACGTCATAGAACAAACCAGATGACGTCACTATTGAACATGACGTCACCTATCCCTACCCTATGACGTCACCTAACAACAGGCGTGATAATGGCCCATCATCAAGTAATATGAGGGCATTATCAAGTTACAGTGGCCCGCTCATTTCTGATAACATGCGGGCGTTTTAATGATAATTCTATCCATTTTAGCTATAATTCTTATCAATAAATTAGTGAGTCAACAATAATAACTTCTTAGACTGTTTATTTAATGAGTAACAAAAACAGTTAAATGATACAAGACATCACCCACTGTTATCAACCAATCAGAAAACAGAAGTCCATTAGTGGCCATGGCCTACTTTGTGGTCTATGGAAGGAAAAACACAAAATGTATTTTTGTCAATTTATTTATATGAGTGTCATCCTACCCACAGTTGCAGCACACATTATCATCCTTGCCACGATGGCAGCACAGGCTTTATTCTGCTCATACTGTCTTGCCTGGTTTATAACTTTACAGACCACCCTTGTATGACAGGGATACTGAACGAGGATGCTATATTGCTCTGTCTTGGCTGTGACAATCGTTGTAATAGGTCCTGGCTCATTGACGCATGAAGCTATGGGTTATAGTCAATAGCATGGGTAATGGTGTATATATAGTGCATTTAGAATCGTTGGGACAATAAGTTCTTTGTATATAGTATGTAGATATATATGTATTATCTTTGTATGTAGTATTCAAATGTGGGCAGAGTGATATTGAATATGTTGGTGCTTTCATGTGTGTTTCCTTCAAACAAAATAACACATGTCTTGATTTTATATCTTATAGTTTTTCGGTTTTACAGATACTATCTGTATTTGACAATGGCTTGTTTCTCCTTTTTAAGAATTGGAATAAAATTAATTCACAAAAGTGTTTTACTTTCATGACATTAGTGTTTATGAATGAAATGTAAGTGCACACAGTTATATTTCAAGATGTTTCATGAAACTATATACTTGTGTAAATACTTCAAAGTGAAAAGTGGAGATGTGCGACTTCCTTATGTCATCATTATAAACTCAATAAAAATATGGTAAAACATGAGTTACTATTCTTCTGTGTTACATCAGGAATTCCTCATGGAAACCTCACGAAGTGTCCAACTTTCTCTTCGTATAAGACTTACTTGCAATTCATGGAATTTGGAAATATTTACTTTGAAAAACGTACCAATGGCGTGCATCGTTACCTCTTCTTTTCGTCTATTATTAATTTATTATATTTATAACTGACTTTGTTTCTTCTTTTCTCTTTCTTTCTTTTTTATCTATTTTTACCGTATTTTCTTGAGTATAGTGCGCACCCATGTATAATGCGCATCCCCCTCTAGCAGGTTCAATATTTTGGAAAAAAAGAAATTTGAATATTATTCGCAGAAAAAAATTACACTGTACCCCTTCAGCGAAGTCCGGCAAACGAACGGGTGATGAGAAACTTCGTCAGTACAAATTCGAAATTTGAGATAAAAAATCACCAGACATGTTGATTTACTGTTTAAATTGTATTTTTTGTTCAGCTAGGCATTGTTTTATATCCAGGGATTAAGATTACCTTGTGTGTTTTCTCGTAAACTAAGCCGGACACAGCAATCAGCTGTACACACGTTTTCCTGGAATCTTGGAAAAAAAAGTGCGCACTATACTCAAGAAAATATGGTATTCACAAGCTCTTGTTACAGTGTGGAGATCCATGCTCGGTCTAAACATGCATCTCAATTTTCTAATTATTTTATACAAAATAAATTCAAACAATGGTCTTGATATTTTATGAAATATATAGGACATACACGTTGCATCAATACACCACTCACCCAAAGGATGTATAAAAGTTGTACCAGGTCAAGTACATGAAAATTACATGGTTCTCAAAAAGACAATGATACAGCAACCATTGTGAATAAAACTTACTCTGAGCAACCCATGCTTGCCGTAAAAGGCGACTATGCTTGTCATAAGAGGTGACTAACGGGATCGGGTGGACAGGCTCACTTACTTGGTTGATGCATGTCATCAATCCCAATTGCGTGGAACCCATGAAGATCCGGGGAAGAATAGGTCTTCAGCAACCCAAGCTTGCCGTAATAGGCGACTAATGGGATCGGGTGGTCAGGCTCACTGACTTGGTTGATGAATGTCATCAATCCCAATGGTGTGGATTGATGCTCATGATGTCAATCACTGGATTGTGTGGTCTCGATTATTTACAGCCCGCTGTCATATAGCTGGAATATTGCTGAGTGCAGCGTTAAACCACAAACTCACTCACTCACTGAGTACTTCGATTAAAATGAATTCATTTCTCGTTTGAAATGGTTTAAGTTAAGAGAAATATCCTTCACCTTGCACTTATAATTGAAATATTTGGCAAATAATATAACAAAGTAAAAGACTTTGTCAGTGTTAATGATATTTTTACAACCATATAATATAAACTCTGGGTCATGTATATTAAGCTCATATATGAGAACATTTATCTTTCAACCAATCCTTGAGGGATATCCAAAATATGTTTGCTTTTTCACATTCACAGTACAAGTGTACAATCATATGTGGACCAGTGAAACTTGTGATTGACAATGAGCAACATCCTAGATGGTGGACATGCCAAGCTTGTCAAGTTTGTGCAGATAGCAAATAATATTATTCAATCAAACTGCAATCACCCAATATCATCTCAGGGAATTCAGTCACAACAGACACACACACACACACTGATACAGACACAGACACACACACACACACACACTGGCTGACCTGCCTTTCATGTTATTTACAACTATACACAGACACTCTGATATGTGACGTGTTGTTTACAGGGAAGATCCCGAGTGGTTTATTCTCCCTGCAGTGTTTATTCTACGTTAACACCAATCACATGTTGTTTATTTCTTATATGAGATATAAACATCATGTACAGCTTCTTCAAGGATGATGATAAAATGTACAAACTTTTAAATAGTTATATTTAAATAATGATGACTCCCTCAAAAGAATCCGACCTCGGCAATATATCTCTCAATGTATCTGTCATATCTTTCCGGCTTTTGGATGCGATTGGTCGGCCATCACATGTATCTGCATATCCCAGCTGCATCTATGGGGAACAACTCACTAGATACTCCCCTCTCAAAAATAACATCGTCCACTATACGACGTCATCAAGTTGCGAGCACATGTTCGAATCTCCAGAAATGACGTCATGATAGAACAATGTTTTATCATGAAATAAACCACGCTTCATTGTCCTTTGTGATTTATGCATAGCTATCTTATATAACTCCATAATTGCAGCCTAGTTCGGCAAGGGTGGAAACTGGACTTTTATAGTCAGTTAACTCCCTTGCCGCAGGAAGATGGACTTGGCAGATGTATAGATGTCCCAAAACAAATTGTGGGCCTGTAGATAAACTTATGTTGCGTACGCCAAACACCACTAAGATCATCAAACAATGTGTGATACATCCATTAAGAGGTGAGGTGAGGTGAAATGGGGTTTAACGTCGCGTCCAAGATTATTGCACTTATATAGCGACGTGCATGCACGTGTATGTGTGGCTGCTTGTACTAGTCTGGACTAATGCCGATTTATAGTGCGGAGGCTCTACCACTAGACCACTGAGGTGGTCTCAGCCATTAAGAACAAATATACATTTATTTCATATATTATGGTACATGTGAGTATCAAACACGTCTATGCTGAAAGGAATTTTATGTAAAAAAACTAATAACTACAGCCTATGGCATACAGTGAAATACACCGTCAATCTGTTTCACCAAAATATAATCAGGAATCTGGAGAGAATGGAATCAATTAGAACAGGTCTCCACCACTCCACTGCTTAAAACAAAAGGTGACCAAGTTGCATGTAGTGGCAGGAGGACTTGGTTGAGCGTAATAGTGCACTGAGGGTGAGGGCTAATATGATATCAACTTCTGGTTTGTGTTGTCCAATTATTTTCAGGTTGACGGGGAATGGCTGGAATATGTTCTTGATAAAAAAAAAAAACCAACATAATTTTGATCATAGGTCACATTCTTGGTAGGAGGTTTCTTTCAGTATGTGATTTAATACTAGGGTGACTATCCAGGGCATGTTCACTATAGCAGTAGTGATGTTGTCTGCCATAATGTTTCTAAATGGATATCCAGACCACTTGCCCCTTCAAGCAATGTGGATTTAAAAACCAAACAAATGGGAAAGTTAATGAGTATGTATTTCATTTTATTAGGTCCACCCATACTATGTATGATGCAGTGCGATATCGATTTTAACTGTTGGAATTAAAACTTGTCATTAATGTACTGATATCAGCAATGGACAATCGTGATGCACCAACAGTTCAATCAATTGTTACACCTCGAGCCAAATCTGATTCACGGCTGTCCGATTTGCCTTGAAAATTAACTTTCTTCAATATTAAGTTTCTTGAATATTATTTTCTATAGGCTCCAGGCATCAATCAGATGTCCTCTTTAGCCATTCTTCAAGGGCGAACTTGGTGCCAGTGCTGACCCTCCCTAAAGATTCCTTGTCTCCAGATGTCTGTAGCAGTGGGGCTAAGGGCAGGTCAAGGTCAACTTGCTTGCCTTCATCATTCAGGACAGTTGCTCTGTAACAAAATTGTACATATTCATTTTGACCACTGACACTATGGTTTTGGGAAGGGATGTCAGAAAACAAGACCTAAAAAGTCTTATATAAGGCATGAGGGGGGTAGCACAGTGGTTAAGGTGCTTGCTTGTCATGCAAAGGCCCTGGTTCAATTTCCCACCTAGACCTAAAAAGGCAAATATAAGGCATGCAGGGGGTAGCATAGTGGTTAAAGTGTTTGCTCGTCATGCCGAACACCCAGGTTCAATTTCCCACACGGTGTCCACATTTCTAGTGTCCACTGCCATAATAATGCTGGAATATCGCAAAAACTGTTTGAAACCATACTCACTCACTCACTTTAATAATACACACACATCTAACCTCCTCCTGACAAAACTTCATATCAAGTCATAAAGTTGGAAGGAAACTGGAATTAGTGTGGGTTTCAGTAACAGAGTAATATGAAATTAGGGTCTTCACTTTATATGTACTTCTGTGTCCAGTAGGGCCAGGACAGGTAACTCGGGTACCTGGGTCGGGTGGGTACTGAGTAGGACCCGGGTACCCACAGGACTACCCGGACCCGTGGTTAGTCACGTGATATATTGTTTAATGACAAAAATTATTTAGAACTCTATGGTTACAGTACAAGTCACTAATGTTCACAGTTCTTTCTGACTAAGCACCTGTTCCTTCTGATTTTTCATATGGTTGGATAAACATATAACTTAATTCAGCTTCAGTGTATGAATGACCAGATTGTTTAAAACATGTATCTAAATACGTTTTGCCAGGGCTATGCTGGCAAATCGGACATTTTGAAACTTCTCCTGAGACCTACAGTGGGTACCCGGGTAGGGTCGGGTAATAGGGGGGTGGGTACCCGGGTAGGGTCGGGTAATAGGGGGGTGGGTACCCGGGTAGGGGCGGGTAATAGGGGGGTGGGGACCCGGGTAGGGTCGGGTAATAGGGGGTGGGGACCCGGGTAGGGTCGGGTAATAGGGGGGTGGGGACCCAGGTAGGGTCGGGTAATAGGGGGGTGGGGACCCGGGTAGGGTCGGGTAATAGGGGGGTGGGTACCCGGGTAGGGTCGGGTAATAGGGGGGTGGGGACCCGGGTAGTAAATCTGGACTCGTCCCAGCCCTTGTGTCCAGGCTTAAGTTTACCTGACAGTTTGAGGTAGGCTGCCAGAGATGTTCTGCTGTTCTGGCGACTCTTCATCCGACAGTTTCAAAATGCCCGAGATGACATCACGGTCCAGCCATGTGCAGGCATCCACTTCCTCTGGCTGCATCTTCAGCTGACTGGTCAATTTATCCGAGGTCAGGTCAGAGATCAGCTTCCCGTACAAGTATACAACCATGTGATGACGTTTTGGCAGACCATGTGACAGCTTTGGTGGGTAGACAGACTGAAATGTAATAATTAACAAAATAACCTTATATTTCATACCCTAAAGAACACCTTATGCTTTTTAACTCTACATCAACAAACAAAATTTACACCACTAGGATGTGTCATATGTCCATTATCCATTGCAGGTGCATATATATTCAATACATGAGAGGCAAATGTCCGACTCAGATCAGAGGGGAGTATGCAATGGTTCATTTTACGAGGCCGTTGTCACAATTGAACGAACTTTATTCTTCAAGTGAACTACACGTTTTCATGTTTCGCAGGTGTGCCCATGTGCTCGACCCCGACATCCCATAATTCTTTCAAGGCAGCATAACTCCTGAAAGGACAACCGCTAAATACATGCTAATGCACGACACCATGGTACAGGGGTTTGCATGTGTAGGAGAAAGCATGACTGAGGGTTTTTAAGATATTTAAAACCCGCATTCGCAGGATTAAGCCAAGGGGCATCCGCCTCAAGTTTCTATCCTAAGGATAAGGGTTTTAAATACATGTATCATAAAAACCTGAGGGGAAGTGTTTTATCTAACTTATAAACCGAAAAAAGAAACTTAAAACAACATTTATTAACATTTTTATGTTTCAAACATACTTTCTATTAACCTTAGGAAACAGGCGTAAAATATCTGTTGCTGACGTACAGGACGGGTAGTTGAAAACGACATTCATGAAAGCATTGTGATTTATCAGTGTCTCCATAGCCTGGTGGTACCCTCACTGGGCTACAGATACGAAGGTTGTAAGTTCGAACTTTGGGAATATACAGAGAACATTTGACATTGAATTTACATTTCATTACATTGTGTTCAAATGCAAAATAAATTTCTTGCGAGAAACATTCATATGTTACTATCTAAACGGAAGTTGTATTAATAAAATCCCAGTCATATTATAACATATAATATAGCAAATATCCCTGGGATATTATATAAAATCCTGGGGCTATTATAACATCCCTGTTTATGAGATTTAATCCCACTGGAGAACAATAGGATGACATCACTGGAGATTTATAATATTGCATAAAGTACTCCACATTCCCAGCCCACATGGTGTACCAGTAAGTACTCCACATTCCCAGCCCACATGGTGTACCAGTAAGTACTCCACATTCCCAGCCCACATGGTGTACCAGTAAGTAGGCTATCAACCAACTCTGTGAGTGATATCGATTCAATGCACTTGGCTAATGCCTCGTTAAGATGATTCATCTGCATCACCCAGGCAGAATCCTTGTTGGCACAGTTGCCTAATAGCCACACTTTGCCTGTCTCAACACCAGACAACTTGACACATGCTTCATGGTTCAAAGGAATTCCACCTGTCTCAAACACCAGACAACTTGACACACACTTGTTGGTCCCAAGGGCTTCCACTTGTCTTAAGCAACAAATAACCGAGACTGCCTTCTCTTTCCTATTTAGATGTATGCATAAAGATTCATAGAGTGATAACACTCTCAACAAGACTGTATGACAAGAGGGATGACTTCAACTTTCCATATTCAACTTTTGTCGAGCAATATTCCTGCATCTCCTGACCCACACTGAACAACTTTTAAAGTATAATAGAGCATCATAAGACTCTTGTTCAAAAGTGGTTCCACCAAGGTTACAACCAGGGGTCGGGAAAATTTAAAATCCCAATCGGACATTTGCATTTAGGCCATGCCCCCTTCAAATAGCGTATTTTCGTACGACTTTTCACACACATTACAAGTTGTTACGTACAGTGTTCCATCGTTATTGAGCGCTTCTGTTATAGCGCTGTAAAGCATGGCTCCCAAAATTTACTAACATTTTTAGTAAACTCAAGTTTTCCAATGACACGATGTTTTCCCCCCATCTCAGAAAACATTATCAGCTGATCACTGCATTCACGTAACACCGGAAATACAAGTCAACAAATCCAAACTGAAGAACGCAATTTAATCCTATCATTATAATATCTGGTAATAATAAAAATTGTTCACTGTTTATCTTGACTAGAGTTTGCAATATATTTGATTAATATTATTCAATATTTCATTCAATAATTATAATAATGTTACAACATTCAAGGCCTCAGTAAAGCTTTCAAAAAGTTTAATGGTAGACATGTGGAGAACATTTCCAAATTTGACCTATCAGCGACAAAAATGATGTCCACTGCAATTCCCTATTTTGGCTTGTTTCTGTGTTATTTCAGGTGAACAACTGACTTGCCTTTGCATGTGTTTGTGACAGGTGTCATCTGTGGGGTAGGATGCGTTCACCTTTTTCACCAACAACTACCATGTAATATCATCACTATTTAATAGTGTTTACATAAACATATGTTAATGATACAGTCGGAATTGTACAATCAACTCTGCTTTTAGCAGAGATTTCTTATGAAAATGGAAAGTGTCTTGTCGCTTATATTTTATTGACAAATACATTTACGTTATTGTCCCAAAATCTTCTCTTTGACATCCCCGACTCCAGATAACATGACACACATTTGATGGTCCCAAGATCTAACCAGATATGGCAGGACACGACAATGTGACATTATCAAATTCAGTGTGATATGACATGATGATCCTACTATCTGAGAGCGCTGTTTGAAATCCAATTGTTTCTTCACTTGAAGGGGCGGTTGGGTAGCCTAGTGGTTAAAGCGTTCGCTCGTCCCGCCGAAGACCCGACATGGGTACAATGTGTGAAGCCTATTTCTGGTGTCCCCCGTCGTGATATTGCTGGAATATTGCTAAAAGCGGCGTAAAACCATACTCACTCACTCACTCACTCACTCTTCACTTGAAGGCAACTTGAAATCCACTCTTACCTCCCAGAGAGCCAACAGATGCAGCTGGTTCCCAACACACTGGCTAGCTTGTAGCTGTAGGCCTGTCTCCTCACCAAACTCACGCAGACCCGCTTCCACAAACTGAAACATGCACAGGGACCAAATAGGGCACAGTGTCCCTATTACAGAACATACAAAATAAACCAATATTGTATAACCATATTTATCAAATATCAGCACAATCTCATTGAAATCAGATCTTAGTCTTGCTAAACAAAGAACTCAAGACATCCCGTTACGGGTCACGTCAGAATAACTTTCCCAACATTGACCGACCAATGAAATAACTAACATGAAGTCAACATGGGATTTAGTCCAAAAAAAACTTGTCCCAGAAAATGTTTGAAAAATATAACTGTGCTTCTTAATGTTGAAAAAAAAAAATTATCATAAAAAAATAAAATACCTTGTTGCAAGGTGATTTTTTTAGTAAAAACAAAATTGGACTCAAAGTGTTAATTGAAAAAACATCTGGTTTTGCAGATTAAGTTGAAAAAATAGCAAGTCTCCAAACAAATTCCTAAGCTCAAGAATACCAAATGGTCGGTACCATAAGTCACCATTGATCTCACCATCAAATATAATCATGTCACTTAAAGATGCAGGGTTGTTGTTATTGTTGGTTTGTTGTTTAACGACGCACTCAGCAATATTCCAGCTATATGACGGCGGTCTGTAAATAATAGAGTCCAGACAATCCAGTGATTGATATCATGAGCATTGATCCACGCAATTGGGATCGATGACATGCATCAACCAAGTCAGCGAGCCTGACCACCCGATCCCGTTAGTCGCCTTTTACGACAAGCATAGTCACCTTTTACGGCAAGCATGGGTTGCTGAAGACCTATTCTACCCCAGAATCTTCACGGGTCTAAAGATGCAGGGAAGTTTGACAGTTTCGTTCTGTTGAGCAGTAGTCCAAACTTGTATTTTGGCATAGTTTCAAAATATCTTGGTCTTAGGATATGGACTATAATAATCTGATATTTACTGGACGAGAAGAAATGTTATGTGACTCGGGCATCCGACTTGTGGCTAAAGTCACAGCTGGTTTAGGAAGGACTTTCCTTCATCCAACTTACAGTTTCATTTTCCTCTATGTGCCCACCTGCAATTGTAAACATCCATATCAGCTGTCTCTTCAGCCAAATCCACATGGAGACCACAACATACATACAGCTATAACCTTAAACATATCCTGCCATCAAAGATACTTATGTAAACTGACAAAAAAAACATTAATGTGTAAAACGGTTCAGTAAGTTTCACATAAAAGTAACAAGTGAGTGAGTGAGTATGGTTTTATGCCGCAATCTTCCAGTAATATCACGGCGAGGGACACCAGAAATGGGCTTCAAACATTGTACCCATGTGGGGATTTGAACCCGGGTCTTCAGCATGATGGGTGAACGCTTAAACCACTAGGCTACCCCACCGCCCCATAAAAGAAAAGACAGTGATAAACTGCTCCGTGCAACATAAACAATTTCTACTTAACCTTCCAGTCAGAAAACGACAAATGGACCTGGGGCCCATTCCACAAAGGGATATTTGCGCTACGATCATTGTAAGTCTATGTTAAAGTATGAGAGATACGATCGCCTAAGCGCTAACATCACTTTGTGGAACGACCCTCTAGAGTTGTTTATGGCACCAACTTGACATTTTACACAGCATTGTTACTAATAACTTGAGATGGTGGTCAGTGCAGGCTGTTTGGTAAACATGACTGCATGTTCAACCATTTACGAACTAAAGAAAAATCAAACATTTACCAACTAAATAAAACTCAAAAAGGTGGACAAAAAGAATGCGTTTCACTTTTTGTACCCTCGTGGACGTTTTGACCTTCACATATTGAGCCAGCACTTGAACAGTGTAGACGAAGAGAATGAGTTTCACATTCTGCGACTTGTGGACGTTCTGGCCTTCACATTTTGGGCCAGCACTTGAACAGTGTGGACAAAAAGGATGAGTTTCACATTTTGTGCCCTTGTGGAAGTTTGTGTCTTCACATATTGGGCCAGCACTTGAACAGTGTGGACAAAAAGGATGAGTTTCACATTTTGTACACTGGTGGAAGTTCAGGTCTTCACATATTGGGCCAGCACTTGAACAGTGTGAACAAAAAGGATGAGTTTCACATTTTGTGCACTGGTGGAAGTTCGGGTCTTCACATATTGGGCCAGCACTTGAACAGTGTGGACAAAAAGGATGAGTTTCACATTTTGTGCACTGGTGGAAGTTCGGGTCTTCACATATTGGGCCAGCACTTGAACAGTGTGAACAAAAAGGATGAGTTTCACATTTTGTGCACTGGTGGAAGTTCGGGTCTTCACATATTGGGCCAGCACTTGAACAGTGAGAACAAAAAGGATGAGTTTCACATTTTGTGCACTGGTGGAAGTTCGGGTCTTCACATATTGGGCCAGCACTTGAACAGTGTGGACACAAAGGATGAGTTTCACATTTTGTACACTGGTGGAAGTTCAGGTCTTCACATATTGGGCCAGCACTTGAACAGTGTGAACAAAAAGGATGAGTTTCACATTTTGTGCACTGGTGGAATTTCGGGTCTTCACATATTGGGCCAGCACTTGAACAGTGTGGACAAATAGGATGAGTTTCACATTTTGTGCACTGGTGGAAGTTCAGGTCTTCACATATTGGGCCAGCACTTGAACAGTGTGAACAAAAAGGATGAGTTTCACATTTTGTGCACTGGTGGAAGTTCGGGTCTTCACATATTGGGCCAGCACTTGAACAGTGTGGACATATAGGATGAGTTTCACATTTTGTGCCCTTGTGGAAGTTCAGGTCTTCACATGTTGAGCCAGCACTTGAACCACAAGGCCAACACCAACAAACTCCTGATGATATGAAAGTAGTAGGGAAATCATAAAGCAATATTTGTATGTAGTCAGTAATGTACTGCAAAAATATTACAGATTTCATTTACACATACACACGGAAAGATGGATGAAGGCTTTACCTGGAGGAACCCAAATTCCCGGAAATGCTCGTAAATGTTTGGCTCTTCTAGTCAGTAACACTTTTCCATCTCCTGTTTCCATGACAACAGCAGCTCCCACATCTACCCCTCGGTTAGCAGTTTCTGGAGGGAGAGCTGCGACATCCTCCGGGGTGAGGTGAAGAACTGGACAGAAGGGCGGGTGCTGGGGAGTAACAATGTAAACCCTGCAGGCTTCTAGCTGTAATGAAATCCTGCGTAGGAAAACCAGTGGTCAGTTGTGCATCACATTGATTTGTGATTGTTTGTTTGTTGTTTAACGCCGCACTCAGCAATATTCCAGCTATATGACGGCGGTCTGTAAATAATCAAGGCTGGACAAGACAATACAGAGATTGATATCATGAGCATCGATCCATGCAGTTAGGATACAATGACATGCATCAACCAAGTCAGCAAGCCTGACCCTTTGATCCTGTTAGTCGCCTCTTACGACAAGCGTAGTCACATGTTACGACAAGCATAGTCGCCTCTTACAACAAGCATGGGTTGCTGAAGAACTATTCTAACCAGGATCTTCACAGGGTCTGAGCATCATGCAGCACTCTAATGGAAATATGGAACTGGCAATACCCACTTATAGATCAAGAACCAGCAATGGATGGACTTCCACATCCAGCTTTGTTAGGGTGGTTGTTTTCCGACATGATTGCAGGGTTTGTGGAAATAGTCATTAATTCAAATGTGACACTCCTCATGATGCTTATCTATATGATCCTGTTATATAATACATACAACAAACACTGCAGATCTTTATTTGAGTGGGGGCGGTCGGGTAGCCTAGTGGTTAAAGCGTTCGCTCGTCACGCCAAAGACCCGGGTTCGAAGCCCATTTCTGGTGTCCCCCGCCGTGATATTACTGGAATATTGCTAAAAGCAGCATAAAACCATACTCACTCACTCACTCACTATATCTGAGTGGCGATAATGAAAAGTAGACCTCAACATTCCGAGTTCTCCATAAGGTCATCATCTCGAATACCCAGTGTATCATAGCTGCTTAATATAATCATTAATGCCCTGGGTGCAATTGTGCAAAACCTAAGCACTATGAGTGTCATAAGTCTGTGGTAAGGTAAGGGAGTTACGATCACATTGTTTACTGCCACAGTCAGCAATATTACAGCTATATGACAGCGGCCTGTAAATAATGGAGTCTGGGCCAGACAATCCAGTGATTAGTGTGAGCAACGGTTCCCACTGTCAGGATTATTGATGATGACACTCAATCAACCAAGTCACCAAGCGACCACATGATCTGTTATAGTCACCTCATACAATCAGCATATGTTGCTGGGGAACCATATTCTAACCCGGAATCCCCACAAGGTGCACTGCTGTGAATCAAATGTGTGTGAAACACTGCCGCTGTGAGGTTCCATAAATCATTCAATGAGAGCTGTTCATTCACCAAATTAATTCGTCCTCAGTGGCCTCTTACAACAACAGGGCAGTACTAAGGCAAATATGGGATTCAGAGGATCCTGGGACTATAGGGGAAGCCACTCTGCACAGTAGCAGATGCGCCAGAAGTGTAACTGATGCTCCACTATAGCAGCAACAACCCGCAATCCCTCTGATCGCCACTTCTCATGGCAAGCACAAGTTACTGCACACTATTCTTACACATAATAAAAGAGAAGGGAAAAACAGAAAATCAACTGCAGGTAGACATTTTGTCTGCATAGAAAGTGACACAAATGATAGAGATTGTTTACTATCAGAGTAAAATACTACAAAGATGGTACAATTGTCTTGTTACTTTTAGTTTGACTGGTGTTTTCCCTGTGAGGTCATCCGTCACTACAAGCCTGTTGTTGTCCATTTCAGCATGTAGATGTGTCGCGAGGTCAGTTGTCCCAAAATACTCCAGAATGCACTGCCACAAGAAAATGAGAAGCTACATGCACACTTAATTTGGTACATAACAAAATGATACAATTATTGATCAAGGCGATTAGAAGCTTAGATATAGCCTAAGTAATAGTACTGTACTCTATAATTGATCGCCAGATTTTTGATATCGTGTGTACAGCATTGTATGATCTTGCATGATACAACCAGGAGTTATAGGATCCTAATTAAAGTGAGAGCATTGCACGTCCATACTGCTTTATTCTAGATCGTCAGTTTCATATCGTGTGTAAGAAACTGCACACATGAAAACCTGTGAGAACCGTGCGAGAACTTCTTGTCCTTCTTTAGGTTTTGTTTTCTTCAGATGCACCAGAATTCGCTTTGTGTTTGCTGTCATTTTGTTTAAGCACTGCCTGAATATCAGGCTGATAGACCGCGGACGTTCTCAGTTTGTTGATGTGCAGCGATGGGTTACGAAATGAGAGTTACTTCCCTTGGATTTACGACCGGAATCCGCAAGACAGTCACAGAAAATATTTATTACTTGTCTGACACAAGTGCTTGAATTAAACAAAATTTCCAAGGCGTGCTGATTTTTATCTTTTATTCTGAGATTCAAGAACAGTATCAAATTAATTCATATATTAGTCTTTAACTAGTTTGATTATTTAACGATTGCATTCATTCTCAATTATAAATAGATTCTTATGGGCAAAAAATACAATGTTGAAAAAAAGGACCAAAGTACACAATAAAGGTCAAATATTACGAATTAAGAACTAAATGTAAGCACTAAATGTTACTAATAAAGGTCAAAATACAAAACAAACAGACGTACGCCGGTTAAACAAATAAAAATTTGAAACAAAGGTCAAAAGTATTAATATCAATAGTCAAATGTTACGAAAAGACGTCATAAGAAAAGAAAAAACAATGTGTTCGAAAGAACGTCAGTGAGCACGAAAGGACGTTTACAATAAAGAACGTCAGTGAGCGCGAAAGGACGTTTACAATAAAGAACGCCAGATATGGCGCTGCAATTTGTAAGACATTCCGAGTTTAATCACTCCTCGTGCACTCACCGTCTGACGTCACACACACACACGCACACACACACACACACACACACACACATATATATATATATATATATATATATATACTGAACAGCATTGAAAACGCACCACCATGAAAATGGATGTATTTTTATCCGGACTTAAGTCATATGAAAATATATAAGTGAATGAGTAATATACGTCTTCGCCAAAACGCAACAAATTGCGTACACATCATGGAAAACGTGTTTTGTTTCACGGGAAGCATGCAGAATAGGGCTATGAAAGACAAACTTTTAAAAGCCACATCACTTGTTGCTGCAGACGTTATAAGGATACTGACACAAGAAATGCCAAGATTAACAGCAGAGGAACGTGAACGTGCCTTGGGCATGCTTCAAGTTGGTACGTCAAGTAGAGTCGTTGCACAACGGTTTCAATGCCATCATTCAACAGTCCTCAAGCTACTGAGCATATACCAGCAGACAAGAACCACCAGAGATCGACCAGGTCCGGGTCAACGTCGTGTAACTACACCACGTCAGGATCGCCATATTGTTCGTCGGCATATTCGTGATCGTACACTTCCGGCTACCAGGACTGCAGCAACCGTACAAGGCCGAGAGAATTGATCAGTGCTGACACCGTACGTCGACGTCTCCGCTCAGCAGGGCTACGTGCTCGACGTCCATATGTTGGACCCATACTCACTGATCGACATCGAAATGAACGTCTGCGTTTGGTCAAAAGGCATCGCCATTGGAGATTGCGGCAGTGGCACGGTGTGCTGTTCTGTGATGAGTCCCGTTTTCATTTACGGAATGCTGACGGTCGACTGCGAGTGTAGCGTCGACGTGGAGAACGTTACCACAATGACTACGTTGTACAGACAGATCGATGGGGGGGGGGGGGGGGGGAAGTGTCATGGTGTGGGGCGGCATCAGTCATAACCGTCGAACAGAGCTCCATGTTTGTCGTGGAAGAGTTGATGCCCTTTACTACAGGAATAACTTTTTGGCAAATCACGTCATCCCATTCGTTCATCAGCACCAGGATATGCACACCTTCCAGCAAGATAATGCAAGAGCGCAAACAGCACGTGTTTCAACACAGTACCAAGCGAACAATAATGTAATGTGCCTCTGCTTCCATGGCCAGCCCTGTCACACGATCTATCGCCAATTGAACATCTATGGGATTACCTGGGTCAACGCCTCTCACGTCGTCCGCAAGTACAGAACCTGAGAGAACTTGAAGATACACTACGTCAAGAGTGGAATGCCCCAGAACACTATTTGCAGACTTATTCGATCAATGAAAAGACGTTGCATGGCCTGTGTTGTTGTCAATGGCGGACATACCAGATATTGACTTTTCATTTTAACCCTATGGGTCTTCCTTACACTGATGACGTAATTGTAATTACTGTGTGGTATTCCTGTTTCCTTTGTCGTCTTTCTTAATAATCCGTCTATGTCTGTTCTAATCAAAATCGGTCATTGCTCAAGTTGTTTTTGTAATATTTCAAGATTTATTGCTGGTGCGTTTTCAATGCTGTTCAGTATATATATACTACACACACAAAATTAAGGGAACACCCCTAAATGTCATAGCCATGTATAAAACTTAACGTGGCTTGGTCATTTATGAACTTCAGTAAATGCAACTTTTTGTGTGCACTGAGGGCACATTAAATGACGTGTTGAGTCATGCATTTTTGCAAGTGTTTCATTTTTTGAAGAATTTGGTCAAATTGATTTAATGCTAAAACAGGAAAAAACTTGGGTGCAGAAAGACTCCCTCGCCATGTCAGATTCAAACGCCAAAACACAACAACCTAGTGCACGTGAAAGTCAGAATTCCCATGCAGTTGGTGGCAACTTTTCTTTATAAAGAAGCTTCAGACACTGTGAAGTTACACATTTCCTTAAACATGCCCCAGCGAAGACCGTTCAGCATTCACGACAGGAGTAGGGCCATAGCGTGGCTACAAGATGGTGCATCCATAAGGAATGTTGCCCGTCGTCTTCAAGTGTCACCGTCTGTCATTCACGGACTGAGGGAACGGTTCCAGACAACAGGGAGAGTTCAGGACAGACCGCGTTCTGATAGACCCAGAGTAACATCTAGGGCAGATGACCGATACGTTGTGCTGCAAGCCCTTCGGAACTGGTTCACAACAGCCAGTGCTTCGAGACTGCAACTCCGACAAGCAACACACACCAACGCAAGCGTATCAACCATCAGGAACCGCCTCAGAGCTGCTCATTTAAGGTCACGTCGTCCAGCTGTACGTCCTCATCTTCGTCCTCATCACCGAGCTGCAAGACTTGCCTGGGCCAGGGCACATTTGAGATGGGATAATCAACAATGGTCCAGAGATCTCTTCACTGACGAGTCCCGTTTCTGTCTTGAGTATAATGATGGAAGGGTAAGGGTTATGAGACGTCCCGGAGAACGTCATGATGATGCCACTGTACGAGAAAGAAACAGGTTTGGCGGTGGCTCTGTGATGGTATGGGGAGGCTTCAGTTTGCATCACCGAACAACTTTCTATCTTGTTCAAGGCAATTTGAATGGAGTGAGGTATCGTGACGAGATTTTGCGCCCTCTTGTCCTACCACAGTTGAACAACATTGGTCCAGGAGCAATCCTGCAAGATGACAATGCCAGACCACATAGGGCTAGAGGCGTTAGAGACTTCCTGCAACAGAACAATGTGACTATGATGCAGTGGCCAGCATATTCACCGGATTTGGCTCCAATTGAGCATCTTTGGGATCTTCTCGGACGACGTGTCAGGGACAATCATGGAGTTGCACCAGCTCTTCAGGTTCTGGTTCAGTGGCTCCAAATGGAATGGCAGGCGATTCCACAGGCTACCCTTCGCACCCTTGCAAGATCCATGAGGCGAAGATGCACCGAATGCATCAATCAACTTGGAGGACACACTCGCTATTGACATTGTGATTTCCATTTTTGACCCCCACTTTCTTATTCGACTTGTTCGTGTGTGCTTTTCAATGACAGCTACCTGTAAATGTTTTTGTTTTGAAGCTTGATAATCTGCTAATGCTCAATTGTAATGATACGATCACATGTCATTAAATGTTCCTTTTTATAACAGAATATTTTGGTGTTTCCATAATTTTTTTGTGTAGTATATATAATATATATACGTTATATCAGTGGAATCGTTTAAATTGTTTTAGAAAATAAGCAATCACGAACGCCGAAGCGAACATTCCGCCATATTGGATAGTGTTTACAAAGTCGGTCGGGTAGCCCAGTGGTTAAAGCGGCGTAAAACCATACTCACTCACTCACTCACTACAAAGTCACGTTTCACGTATGCCGGTTATGAGACGCCTATGACATCACTAATATTTCACACACAGCTGTGATACATACATCCCTGAATTACGCGTATATTTCGGCATCAACTTACAACTTGTCTTTGTCACAAATATAAACAAGCGAAATAAATCTGGTTTGAAAACAACGCTGGTGTCACAAAGGAAAATCGATTTTGTAAACGAATGTGTAACGCTATACTTATGCATACAAATCTATTTGATATTTATTTTTGACGTTCAGATATTAGGCAGCCTTTTGTTCGCACACAGTTTCCGAAAAGCTGTTAAATAAAACAAATTCTCGCACAACGTTCATTGTTTAGATGTTATGACAATATATGTGTCTGAAACAAGTCTCGTCATCATAGCACCGTGCACGAACAGTTAATTGGATCATTTTAGGTTAATCCTAGTTTAGCATCAAATGAGTGTATATTGAAGGTTGTATACAAAATACATGTACTAATTAGGCAGATGTCGAATTACACAGTATACTGTATTTATGAAAAGGCCCTTGGCCGGTGACGATGCTTAACGCATCATGTATATACACAATGTGTACATTAAACATTATATATTATGTATATATATGACGTCAACGGCGAGTGCACGAGGAGCGACGTAATACGCTGCGCACCTCGGCATGCATTCAGTTAGCATATAGAATCTACACGGCGGAACAAGCCGATTAAACTCGGAATGTTTTACAAATTGCAGCGCCAACTGGCGTTCTTTAATGTCAACGTCCTTTCGTGCTCACAGACGTTCTTTATTGTAAACGTCCCTTCGTGCTCACTGACGTTCTTTATTGTCAACGTCCTTTCGTGCTTACTGACGTTCTTTATTGTCAACGTCCTTTCGTGCTCACTGACGTTCTTTATTGTCAACGTCCTTTCGTGCTCACTGACGTTCTTTATTGTCAACGTCCTTTCGTGCTCACTGACGTTCTTTATTGTCAACGTCCTTTCGTGCTCACTGACGTTCTTTATTGTCAACGTCCTTTCGTGTTCCCTGACGTTCTTTATTGTCAACGTCCTTTCGTGCTCACTGGCGTTCTTTATTGTAAACGTCCTTTC